AAAATATATATCTCTCTCAGTTTATATATAAAGCACAGTTTAAAACAGCCTCGGGTAAACCTGGTTTTAAGCACAGATTAGTTGGCCTGCATAGATTAACTAAAACACGCTTGACAAGTTTTTGCCCAGAACTGCTCTGAAAGTAGATCAAAGTTCTCCAGCTGTGGTTCAGAAGCTACCCCAGCCAGCAAACATGAGCCTGCTTTATTTTCTATCTATTAAAGCAACCATTCTGAATGAGAAGCCAATTTCCAAGCTCAAAAATGCAGTATCAGGTTATAAAGCAGAGTCATGCTTGCTACGAAGGGACAGCCGGTTTAGGCAAGCTGTGATGTGCCAACCAGTAAGCAGGAGCCAGACAGCTGATGGGGCTGGGCAAGAGCCACAAGCAAGCACTGTTTTGCAGAGAGCTTTTCAGGAATCCCTCCTACAAGACAGTCTTTGCAAAAGACTACACTGCTGCTGTCTCTCACGCTGAATGAAATCCTGCAGATGAACTTCTGAACAAAATATCCTTTCAGTTTATGCAAACGCTGGCACACAACCTTTATACTTCAGTCAGTCCCAGCACAGCTAAGGTTTTATGGTTCTGAATGTTATCAAAATTGCTTTGTCTGTTACTTACGGTAACATTGTTCTGTTCAAGTTCATCTAAGCATATAAGGGGTGCAACGTTTTTAGAGAGAGGTAATACTTTTCAGGAGAAAGCTGAGGTTTCAGCATGCAGCCTTCTCATTAGGAGTCTGCTTTAAAACCAAAAGCCTAAATTCTCCCTTTGTGATACATACCAGCGCAAGTTTACTCATTTCTAGTGATGACTGGTACAATCTCCTTGTCAAACAAGGTAGAAATTCTGAAGCCCATTTATGAAAACAAACAAGTGCCCCCTTCTCCAACTACTATTGCCCACATACTCAAGGCAGAAACTCCTTGTCAGCGTTCATGCTCATAAAATAAACTGCCCTGACAGCTACATACAGGTTCTTTTCTTTGACCATTGAGTATGTTCTCTGACCCTGCAATGAAGGAACTAAAACTACTAACCCACAAAAACTCTAAACTTATTTCAGCTGAGACTCTGGTTTAAATTCATATACAAAACTATTCTATATATCGCCTATTTCCTATACCGTCCTCCTTTCCACAAATATACCTAGTGCAATAAACCAGTTCTGAATGTAAGTCATACTTCCGTTCACTTTTTTCTAGACCTCATACAGCTTGCTCCAAAATAACTTCTTCCTTCCATCTGTTTAGACACATGCAAAAGTCAAATCCTGTCATGACCCTGAGGAGCCATAAAGACTCCTATAAAAAAATTCAAGTACATCATGCTAAGGCATGCAGAAATTTTCTCTTTAGCAAAGCGTGAGGAAGATGTTCTTTATAATGTTGTAGCACAAGTCAAGCCTAAGTGAGAGGATGTTCACAATCGCTCTTCCCGGCCACCTAAATCTAGTCATAGTGGAGTAATATATACCGTATTAATGATGCTGCTGTTTGGGCTGCAGCGAGGGCTCGTGTGGAGGAGAGTGCTAAGCTCCAGATCAGCAACCATCTGTCGAGACTCAGCCAACGCATGTTGCAGCTTACTTATTGGGGAACTGGTGTCCTGGAGGAGACAGAAAGTGAGCCAAAGTTATGATCTTTTCGTAATATGTCAGAGGATTATAACATACCCAGAACCATCACTTTCATTTTGAAATGTCTCAGTTCAAAATACTACAACATAATGCTGCTCCAGACTCTGTCTAAATGCTGGTATTCCTGCCAAACACAGAGGTCTTTCCTAGTGTCAGCTTTTTAACAGACCTTCACATGCATGGATATGTAGTGCACACAACAGCAGTACCTCAGTGATAAACGGGAGAATATACAAAGACATGAGAAAGAGGGAAAACTAGGCAGAACAAGAAAGAAACAGTATCCAATAGCTTCTAATAACTGTGTCCAAGCATAATATTGTGCTTTACTGGAATTACCAATTAGCCAGCATCCTACAGCCTTTCATTTTAAAAAAAAAAAAAGATAAGCTTTTGAAAACTCACTTATGCTGTCCAAGACATATTGAGACAACAAGGAATTATTTTGAAAAAATATTTCACCACCTTTGCTTTAAGCCTGCTGTCTTGTCACTCAAGTCCCTAGTTCTTCCCTGCCAGCAGACATTTGCTTTCCTACCATCAGTCACAATTCCTCTTAAAATTAAGGAAGTACGTTCTGCAATAAAATACTGACTCGGTCCATGGTAGCGTTGCAGCACCTGTTTGTTGGCTTAGTCACTGAAAGGCTACTGATCTCCAGAGGGAAGTCTTCATCAGAGAATTTCTCACATCTTTGAGAATGCCTGTCTCCTTGCTGGGTAGATGTCAAACAGGGAGAATCCATATGAAAAGAATTCAGATCCACATTTTCTTCACTGTTAAAAAAATTAAGACATTGCCAGAAACAGCATCACCATTCTTTTTAAACTTTCAAAGGAAAATCATGGGACAACATAAATTTAATTATGGGCCCTGAGCCAAGAAAACCATCAAGCATGTGAGATTACTCTGTTCCTCAGAGTGGTTCCCATGTTTAGCAGCTTCATTAGATGAGTTTTATCCTCTGAAGATAACAGTTTGACATTCCACCAGTTTCAAGAACAGCTAACACTACCATGTGCTTGAGTATCTATTTAAACTTACAAAGATCACACAAAAGGCAGTATCTAGTTCCTCCCAATACTCTGGTACTCTTTCTTCTCTCATACCCTACTCCCTTTTTTTTTTTTTAATCAACCATTAGGCAAATTAATATTCATAGGTGTACTTTTCAAGGGAATTTCACAGTCTTTTAAAGTCATCATCTCACTTCAGAGATCACAGGAGAGCTTTCCCAAAGCAGCTTTATTTTATTTATTTTTAAATACAGCAGCAAACAGTAAAGTGCTGTTCGGGCAAACTGTGATTAAACCCAAACCTCAGTTGCATGACTACTATTTCAGTATGGAGTTGAAGCATATGATCTATTGGCATATACCTTCCCCTAGGTTTTAAAGCAAAACAAAATACTAATTTAGCACTGGGTATATCTGCATGTATTTAGGAATATCTGAAAAGCAATTTAAATGACAGTTAAAGCAACAAATCATACCCAGCACATTATTACTGTCTGAACACTGACCTACAGCCATCCCAAGCTTGTCCTTATACAAAAGGTCTTTAGCTCTTAATATGCATGTCAAATGATTGAAACTTTTCTCTTACACCTTTCCCACACTAAAGTTAACTTTATTATAGCCTACCCTAGAGAAGAACAGTTCTCAATTTCAATTCCTTAAATCACAATTTTATCAAAACGTACCAAATCCCTCACTCAGCTCCAGCACCAATTAATCACAAATTAAGACTAGAAGTACTAAAAGCTGTAGCATATTAGAAACTATCTTCATCACCCTACCTAAGCCCTCTTCCCCTGGGATCACCCATCCCCTGTGCCGCGTTTCCACACAGCACCGGGTGCTGTCTGCAGCCTGTACAAAGACGCGCCCTGGTTTCTGCTAGCAGTTAGAAGCTATGCAGTGAATTTCATTTTCAACTACTAATTTCCACTTCATACCATTTTTAAAAAGTAAACACAATAGCAGCCATCTCCCTAAGTAAAACATTTCTGTATTCATCACACTTCTGAACAAAACAGAAGCACAGTGCTAGCACTGCCTGGATCAGGTAAATAATTAAAAAACACGTATATTTTAAAGAAAATACTGTCTTCAAATTTACAACATTTCATTAAATATTCTTTAGATGCAACACATTCCATACCTGGCAAGACTGTTACAGAAAGGCTTATTTTTAAATGACATTCCATCTAAGAAAAAGCCCTTTTGAGAGATGCCAGCTCAGAACTGTCTGCTGGGTCTCATTTCACTTCTCTTGTAAAACACCGGGATACAAAAGGCTTTTGAGAGAGAAGGGCTCATGTTTGTGAGCTTCAGACAAGGCAGGGCTCTGGAGAGATGTGAGGGAACAAGCTGTAGCAGCCTAGAAGCAGGGGATGCGAGGAAATGCAATGAGCACAGCTGGTTTTGAAGGATACACAGGTTGGGAGGGAGGGGGGAAAAAACAGGTTTGATTTTGAGGCAGGGAGACAGCTCAAGGAACGGGTGGCTTAGTCCAGCAGGAGCACACTCAACAAGTAACTGCTGATGCTCCATCTTTAAAACTAGAATTGAGATAAAAATCCAAAGGCAGCAAATGTTGATCCAACATAAATGAAGTCACTAAGTCAGAGCACACAGAAATGATTCCTGCACTACAGTATTTCACAATCACTCTTGCAGTTGGATAAGGTATTTCACTACATTAATAGCCGCCTTTTTGGCTGTTCCAGAATTCAAGAACTCACGTCAAAAATATTTGCTGGGCTGACAGGGAGGTGCCATCACCCTTCCCTACATCAGCACTACGAAGCCAGCAATGGAAAACTGGAGGATCCAGATTCAAGTCCCAGAAGGAATGTTGTGTTTGGTCTCTGCCGTTAATGTCTTAACAAGAAGCCCACACTGAAGACTACAATACTACTGCCTCCCTCCCATTTATGGGGTGAGAATTTATTCGGTGGCAAATCAGAGTCAGCAGAGGCTGGAAAGCAGACAGTCTGGGATCTGCACTGAGTCGATCCATCCCCAATTAGCAGGGCTCCTTGGGCCATATGTGGGCATCAAGAAAACTTGATAGCTCAGCAGCAAATCCCAAACGGGCAGAGCAGCCCTCCCTTACTGAAGGGTATCTGCTCTATCTGCATTGCCCGGGTTGAATTTGTTCCTTCTCCCCCAAAATCTCCTTAAGGACAAGACAAAAAGTGAAAGCAGTTTTCATGATTCAGCCTCAAGAGATTTGGAGGGATGGCAGCGTGTCGTTTGTGCTGCCAGGAGAATAGATAAGAAAGGTCAGGGTAGACATAAGGGGAATGGATCTTTTTAATGATTTATGGACAGAGGAAACTAGAGAGAGTCCACACAGTGTGAAGCTCAGCTAAGCTGTGTGGGAATGTGCTGGGACAGCATTCTTTTTCAACAGCTGCCTATTCACCTTGTTTCTAAACAGAAACAGGTCTGTCTCCCTGCAGTAACAATTTCTATAATATTTTTGTTTTAAAAGCAACACAGAATGAAAGCATCCCTACTCAGATATTTCCATTCCATAACACGAATTTTGTTTGGATGTTGGGCAGACTTGCTGGCTAAAATTCTTAGCAGGTTTAAACAGCTGTTCATTTACTGTAGTTGTCAAACTACCAGCTGAAAAGCTGCTCCTCCTTCTCCGTCTCAAAGGCAGCTATGAAATTTCTGTAAAACTTCAGAAATCCTTCTAAAATAGAGCCGGTAAGTTAGCCAATTTTTTGAAAGGAAATACAGGAACCAACACAACAAATCCACAGAAAGTCACAGCTCTGAATGCCCTTGCTTGTGCAGGCATAAAACCACTTCTATAAATGTGAAGCAGCATTTATACCTCGGACACCTTCCAATACCATGAAGACACCCGAGTATTTTTCCAACACTTCTCAGCATTAGAAACCTCATTCTGCTCATCCCCAACCACATGTCCTTTTCTCCTCCCCCACTATAAACACAGGGATTGAGTCCCATGAACAAAGAGGCACTGGAGAGTGGACAGATTGCTGTCCTTTAAATCTTGCCATCTCATTTTCTTGCCCTGAGTGAGGAAAGCAGCCTGTGCGTAAGAGCTGTGTCCTACATTCTTGCCCAGCCACCATGTGATTTCTCAACAGAAATAACACAGTCACTAAAGCATCACAGAAAATCTAGGTTTCTTTCTTGCCTTACAGAGACATGACTGTGGAAGTCCAACTCTGGTCAGAACCTATTTTGTCCACCAGATTTACAAGCAATATCTGGGATTTCAAAAAATCAGAAGATTTTTTAGATCTGCATTTTTCTCAATGAGTTTATTTGGCAAGTTATGTGGTATTGCAGCTTCTCCTACCCACACAGCTCTTGGTGGTAAGAGATGCGAAAAAATAAATGCATAAAAATGGAATCATGATACCTTAGAGCTATTTTAACTTATTTAAATTTACTACTTTTCAAGCTGGTAGACTAATTTTAAAACAGCAGTCCCTTTAAACATCACTTAAGAGAATATAAATTATTGAGAGCTTGCACACCCAAGTTTCTACGTAACTCCAGCTTGTACCTATCTATTTCTTAAATGTAACAAGCACATAACCTTTTTGAGCTGGCACGTTTCATCTCTTGTGCAGTCTTCAGACAGTTGCAATCTTTTCCATGCCACATACTTCCATCTCCTTTTATGGGTTTGAAAATCTTCAGCCATTCCGGATCTGATACTGGCTTCCACCATGCATCTTTTTTTATGATGAAGTCATTACTACAGGAATCAGATTCAGGCTTGTGAATTGCAACAGGAGTGTCTCTGCTTTTTTGGCCAAACAGAATTCCAGTTCTCTCTTCCCAGGTGTTATTTGCATTATCATTTTTGTCAGATGCGACGGTGTTCTGGACCAAAGTACTTTGGAAATCTACACAAGAACTGACGTTAAGCCAATGCCCATATTCAGGTAAAGATGGCTCAAAGGTTTGTTGGTCTCTGTTTTCCACTCCATTCTCAGAAATTTCCCTGTTTCTCAACGGCTTTGTGTTGTTTGCCTCACAAAATACTTTGCTGCCTAACTCATCAGAGCTTGATGCAACACCCTGCTTTTCTTCTTCTTCCGAAAGGACAGCCAAGACTTTCACAACTTTTTGACACCCGTTTAAGTATGCTGAGGTAGTTTCCTCCAGGTCTGATGCATTCAGTAACAGTCTATTATCTACTTCACACATCTCAGAGGTGGTTTTTACCCTACTTTTTGGAACTTGTGCGGTTCCACACTCCTCGCATATCCCGTGGGTGCCCTCAATCCTAACCGCGTCTGTCTCGCTGTTACTTTCAGGGGCAGGGAATGCCATACCTATGCTACAATGGCATGATAAAGAAAACGGTCAGAAATACTGCATTTAAAGAGCATACATAATTATACCCAAGGTTAAAGCTATACATTAACCAGAGGCTGTAGCCATGGTTCTGCGGTAGTTCATATAACAACAGGCAGCTGTATCCTTCCAAAACCCAAAGTCTGACCAGATTTGGCTGTTACTTTCTGTCCTGGTTTTGGCTGGGATAGAGTTAATTTTCT